ACTCCCCTCCCCGCCACCCCTAACGAAAGGAGCCGAGTGTGAGCGACACAGACCTCACCCGTTTGATACGATTCTGCGCTCACCCCAACCCTGCCGCGCCACGCCACGCTCGAGACCGTTTAGCGGGCGGCGGCGGCCGGGCGGGACAGTTAACAAGGTGTGTAAACATTTCCAGTCAAGGGATGCTTTGCGGGGCTCGCCCGAGCTCCAAGTACACTGCCAGGCAATCATTTACCCCCACAAAATGGTCATCAGCGTCATCAATTTGCACTTATGGTTGAGATGTTTAAAAAAAAGCAACAACTGACCTATTGAATTAAATAGTGTGTATTTATTGAAGTTTTTGAAGCTTGTATTGTAGCCCCGCAATTCTCTTTAGTAGCCCGAGCGATTTATTTAATGCAACCCTTGTGATTTTCCCTAAGGACCCTTGCAATTGATTTTTTTTTTTTTTTTTGCGATTTTTTGTGGACCTTCTTTTTAATAGTGGCGTGATTTTTTAAACGTCTAACACCTGACCAGCAGGCACCAGAAAGACGCATGACGTCATGCAGATGACAGCCGTCCTCCATCTCCCCCCCTCCCCCCCTTTGTTGTTTCTAGGGATTAATAAGCCCCATAGAGCAGAGGCTGTTGCGGCTCTGCTCCGATAGAAATGAAAAGGACTCCTTCCCCCCTTTCTTCTTCTTTCCCGTCATCCCCTCCTCCTCGTACCTATATCCCTCTATTCGAGCGACCCAAGCGATAGAGAGAAAGAACAACGACGACCCTTTTCTCTCGCGCGGGACACACATACGGAATTGAAATAAATAAGCGCTTATGAAAATATTGTGTCACGGCTCGGTAAAGCGGTCGCAACGTGTCGTCGCGGGTTCGATCCTCTCCTCCGTGGCGGGGCGGGGCGGGCCTGTGTGAGACTCGAATGAATTTATAGCCGCTTTCCTTTGCGGCTGCAGGCATGGCTCCTGCTCATGGAGTTTTCGCGAGAGAGTTTCTCGGGGCGGCAGCGGGCGGGTGTCGTATCGTATCGTCGCTGCCTTGATCCATGCGGGATGAGCTGTTTATGTCACCCCTTCACCCCCTCCACCCCCCCTCCTCCCCCCACGTGACCTCCCGCGCCGTATATATCTGGCTGTGTGCCTATTGTCCCCCGCGCTGCTACACCGTGACAAATTCGTAACGAGGAGACGGCCGCGGTGACTCAACGAGGTATTAAATCGCGGCCTGATCCATCATCTGCGCGGTAAGCAGCTGGACGCGTGTGTGTGTGTGTGTGTGTGTGTGTGTGTGAGCGCGGACCCGGGGCGGGGACCACCCAAAAGTCATATTATACGCGTAAGGTATACCCTTTTCGCATAAGTTCTTTTTTATATGCGCATGTGCCTTCACCCCTTTTGGGGGGGGGGGGGGCTATTGTGTCGAAATTACACCGTCATTTACGGTATGTGCAACAAACCGTTACAAACACACTTTACTAGGGCGAGATGAATTCTTCGAAACTGAACGTTTCGTTAAGAGCGCCTCATTTAACTTGAATATAGTGGGAACGTCTCCGCCCCGGTTTATATTAAAATTTTGACTACTTGTGTATGACGCGCACGTGAAACGAGTTGTCCTCTTGCTGTACTCACCTGTGAGGTAGGGGTTCCTGAGCAGCGGGTGCAGGTGCGGGTTGAACACGGCCGCCGGCCTGGGGATGGGCTTGGCGATGCCGGCGCCCTGCTGCTGCGGCTGCCCCGCGCCGCCCACGCTGTAGCCGAACCCGAAGAAGGGCGGCGATGAGAACACCGAGTCTGTCGAGAGAAGAACAATTTGCTTAGTGCCCGCAAGATTCGTCGTTTCCAGTCGTTTCTCACCAGAAATCAATACACCGAAATGATTGTTGCACGACGGTGACCTAAATTTCTGAAAAAAGAACTGAAAAATTAAATAACTTATGTAACTGTAAATGAGCTGTCCTAAAGTCGATGTTACACCTCGCTAATCGTCATATAAGACACTACCAATAATGTACTTTTTGCCTCAAGCGGAATAAAAATACAAAAGTCAGTGCGGTAAAGATAAATTTTCTTGTGGATCATCAAAGCTGTAGCGTCACCGTTTTCTCCTGCTAAACGAGAGAAAAGGGAGAGAGAGAGAGAGAGAGGGAGAGTGAGAGATAGAGAGAGAGAGAGAGAGAGTGAGAGAGAGAGAGAGAGAGAGAGAGAGAGAACACTGAGAGGGCAATATCGCATTAATATCCGCTCAGCCTCGCGCTCAGCCCTTCTCGCTGCCGGGCGTGGCGGGGCGGAGCGCCTCGGAGCACCACTAGCGCGCCTTCATTCCGTTTTTATACGCCTTTATTTACTTGTTCTCTTCCCCGATTCCGCTCTGCCTCTCCACACTCCGCCCCCTCCATCGTAATTTCACTCAGACGCCGCGGCGCTCCAGATTTTTTTTTCCTCCCTTCTCTTCTTTTCTCTTGCTCGCTCGCTCGCTCGCTCTTCCTTCTTCACCATCTTTCTCGCATTCTACCCCCTCCCACCCGCCTCTCTCTCTCCTTTGGCCATCCCATCCACTTATTTGTCGATTTGGCCCGCAATCCCCACCTCTCCCCCTCTCTCTCTCTTACTTGCTCCCTCCCCCTCTCTCTCGCTCGCTCGCTCCCCCTTCTCTCCGTGGCCTTCCGTTTACGTCCTGTTCCCGCCCCCAAGAGCCCCTCGAGGAGCCTCATAGTGGGCTGCCCCGGCGCAATGGAGTGGCGAAGCGAGAGAGAGAGAGAGAGAGAGAGACCCGATATGATGAGCGTTTCTCCTTTCTTTATTGGTCTGGGAAGTGTCAGCGAAACGCCCTCCCCAGTTCCCTCACACAGTTTCTTTCCCTTCACCGTCTCCATTTGCTGGCCGCCGGCTGCTGCTGCCGCTGCTGCACTGGTTGTGGGAGGGGACGCAGCGAGCAGCCGCCTCTGAATCTCATCCAGGAGTCTGAGTGCGATTCTTATTATTATTGTTTCTTATCTTTTTTGTGGACGCGCGCCGTTTTTGGCACGGCTGTCGGTCGCCTTCAAACTCAAGCAGCAGCAGCAGCAGCAGAGCTCCGTTCAGCGGCCGCCTGTTTGCGGTTCATGGGGCCGTTGTTGTTGGGAGCGCGGACATTCAAAACATTCATACCTCCCCCCCCCCC